AGCCAGCTAAAGTTAAGCCTCTCTATACAAAAAGGGGGACTATGAACTGCCTTCCAATTATCGACCAGTACCTGTTCTTCCAGTTTTCTCCAGAATATTAAAAGTTTGTGTAAACAAGAGACTTCAATCTTTCTTGGATAAGTTTGGGTTTCTATACAGTGTGTTTCAAAATTCTGGGAACGGTCAAATATTTCCATAGCGGCTTGTAATAGAATTACGAAATTTTCTGCATTTGGGTGATTAATGATACCCGATTCAATGATCATATCGACAATGTTGCCAAATTTACCGGTTTTCAGATAATGTAGGTAACTTCGTTTTTTTAAATAGGAATACCACTTCATTTTCATTGCAATAAATTCGGCGCTCTATTGTTATTAAAACCTCTTGATATCATGTTCCTATTTTATACGGTTTCTGAAATATTGCAACACAGCGTTTTTGTTCAAAAGTCTGGGAACGGTCAAATATTTCCAGAGCGGCTTGAAATAAAATTACGAAATTTTCTGAATATGGGTAATTTATAATGCCCGATTCAATGATGACATCGAGAATGTTGCCAAGTTTACAGGTTTTCAGATAGTTTAGGTAGCTTTGTTTTTTTTTAATAGAAATACGACCTTATGTCTAATGCAATTTTGATACTCTATTGTAAGTAAAACCTCCTGATATCAAATCCCCATTTCAAGTAGTTTTTGAAATGTGGCAACATAGACTTTTTGTTCAAAAATTAGAGAACGGTGGAGTATTTTGACAAAGGCTTAAAATGGGATATTCAAAATTTGATGATGAGAGGTTATTGTGATGCTCAATTCAGTGATGGCATCAACAAATATCAAAATATCGATACGCTGGGATTCACTCAGTTCGAAATTCATTTTGACAAAACTTTGAAGGAACTTGACACATTTGATAATTACCTCTACCACTGGATAATAAACAAATGAATATATAAATTTTTAGTTATTTAGCGTAAGTGTATTCTTTCATGTTATTGTTTCGACAAATTGTCAAACACTTCAGGGAGTATCAGGTAAATCAGGTATAAGTACAAAAATTTTAACATGAGATAATATGACCTAAGACTGTCCTATGCTATTAGGGCTACTAATCATGAGTCAATTGTTAGTATTTTCGGAATTATCGTAAAATTTAAATTTAAAAAAATGTTAACAATGTGAGAACATTGTAGAGATCATCTCTACCAGGATATTAGGTAAATAAAACTGGTAAATTCTATTTTTTTGCAAGCATTTCATTTATTTCCACGTGTTTACGTTTTGGTTTGTTATTCCCTTTCAAATAATGTAAATAAGAATTTGCATTTTTATCACTTTCCTAGTAAAAATAAAAAATGTGCCGTTTTACTAAGTTGCGAATTGCACTCAATTTTTGCACTGAATATTCAAGAGAAAAAAATGTACACACTTACACTTCCCATATCACGCAATCTTTGTAAAACTACCTTAACAAGTATCTGCATATTCGACGTTTGTGAAGTGGACATTTTCTTTTTTGTGCTATGTTGCCAAATGTTTAGATACCGAATTACGAGTGAAAGTGTAATGTTTTTTCAATTTTTTATTATTGTTGTTGACTGAAAATGCATTATTACTTAATAATTGAGTTAATTTTATTTTTTTTGATCTAATAGGTACCTAATGATTAAAATTTTCTTTGTCTCTCAAATATTTGTCAAAAATTGTCATAACTTCAAAGATCTTTTTCTTAAAAATTATTTCGTTTGGTTTGGATGTCACGTCGTAAAAAATTTTTTTCTTCAAAATAGGCCATATTATCAAGTGATAAAACTTTTGTAGTCAAACCTGATACACCCTATATAAAATATCAATTTATACTTGACAACCAGTTTTTTTAGTGATATTTTTGCCGGTATTATTAAGATAGACAAGTAAAATATTTGAGACTTTTGAACAAAAAGGCTGTGTTGCAATATTCCAGAAACCGTGTAAAATAGGGACATGATATCAAGAAGTTTTAATAACAATAGAGCGCCGAACTTATTGCAATGAAAATAAAGTGGTATTCCTATTTAAAAAAACGAAGTTACCTACATTATTTGAAAATTTGGCAACATTGTCGATGTCATCATTGAATCGGGCATCATTAATTACCCATATGCAGAAAACTTCGTAATTCTATTTCAAGCCGCTCAGGAAATATTTGAACGTTTCCAGACTTCTGAACAAAAAGGCTGTGTTGCAATATTTCAGAAACCGTGTAAAATAGGAACATGATATCAAGAGGTTTTAATAACCATAGAGCGCCGAATTTACTACAATGAAAATAAAGTGGCATTCCTATTTAAAATACGAAGTTATCTACATTATCTGAGCATCGGTAAACTTTGCAACACTGTCGATGTCATCATTGAATCGGGCATCATTAATTACTCATATGCAGAAAATTTCATAGTTCTATTTCAAGCCGCTCTGGAAATATTTGACCGTTCCCAGACTTTTGAAACACACTGTATGAGGGTCTGCAAAGGCAAGAACGTCCAGATAGCGGTTATAGATCTTATTTCAGATTTACAAATAAAAATAGACAGTGGAAATATATGTTCTCTGATGTCTTTGGATTTGCAGAAGGCATTTGACACTGTAGACCATGAAATTTTGTTGTTAAGGTTGGAGAGAGCAGGTATTAGAGGAATTTCGTACTTCTAGTCCAGAAACTATCTGCAGAACAGAAGCCAATTTGTGAATGCAAATAATGCTAACAGCAATTTACAATTGATCAGGTACGGGGTTCCTCAAGGATCAGTTCTAGGCCCCACATTGTTTTTAATTTATATTAATTCTATTGGTAGACTTTCATTAAGGGGTAAGGCCGGGGTTACCCAATTCCTTCATTATTAATTTTGGTTCTTAATTTTTAATCTTCAAAAACACCAATGTTAAATAAATTGAACTTTTCAGGAATTAAGAATTAGGGACAAATATTAAGAATTAAGGAATTGGGTAACTCCGGCCTAAAATAAAATTGTATGCAGACGACACAACATTGGTGGACGAGGGGGAAACCACCTTAGAATTTTGGTGTACAAACTGATAGAATTTTTTAGAATTTCTTAGAATTTTTTAAAATTATCAATATTTTTTAGCATTTTTTAGTATTTTTTAGTATTTTCTAGCATTTTCCAGAATTATTTAGAATTTCTTAGTATTATTTAGAACTGAATTAGAATTTTTTAGAAATAATTTAGAATTTTCACCTATTGCGCATGCTCAAGTGCCTGCGCACTGCGCAATCTGTAGGGATTTTTGGAGTTTTTTTGGAATTTTTAGAATTTTTGAGAATTAGCGGGTGATCTATTTCTATTATAAATGTCACCCCCTTTTAACTTTTTCATTTGACATTTTTGACAAAAGTGTCAAATACAAAAGTTTTGATAAATTGTCGAAAGTTTTTAACTAACTCAGTTTTAGACATACAGGCCGTGTCAAAAAAGTGTAGCAGTGTGAAGTTATATTTTTTTAAATGGAACACCCTGCATATTATGCGCTTATTTGCTTATCCCTTTTAAGCTGATTTCAACGATATACGATTTGATATGTCTATCTTCGATATTTATAGGGAAAAACATGAAAACCCCTTTCAAGGTTTCATTTTGAAAAAAGAAAAATTATGTAATTTAAGCTTTAGAGAATTTTTTTTATGAACAGTTTATTATTCAAATTTTATTCATTAATATACAAGGTGAAATATTATACTTAATAAATTCAGGTGTCTAAGTTATTATTATTTTTGAAAAAATAACATGAGAGACCTAGCAAGGGATTTTCGCGTTTTTCCCTATAACTATTGAAGATAAACCGAGAGATAAACATATCAAACCGTATATTGTTGAAATCAGGTTAAAGGGGATTAACAAATAAGCACACAATATACAGGGTGTTCCATTTTAAAAAATATAACCTCACACTGCTGCACTTTTTTGACGCACCCTGTATGCCTAAAACTAACTTAGTTAAAGACTTTTGACAATTTCTCAAAACTTTTGTATTTGACACTTCTGTCAAAACGTCAAAAGATAAAGTTAGCAGGAGATGACATTTATAATAAATCACCCTGTACAAACTGATAGAATTTTTAGAATTTCTTAGAATTTTTCAGAATTATCAGTATGTTTTTGCATTTTTGAGTATTTTCTAGCAATTTCTAAAATTATTCAGTATTTTTTAGAATTGAACTAGAATTTTTTAGAAATAATTTAGAATTTTTATCTATTGCGAATGCTCAAGAGCCTGCCCAAGTTGTTGAGATTTTTGAAATTTTTTAGAATTTCTAGAATTTTTTGGGACAATAATAACGCATTTTTCAGAAATTTAGAAATTTTGGTGTACAAAATTAGGTAGGTGGATTCCCCCTCGTTGGTGGATTATGGTAGGAATGTTGAATCTGAAGTCTCGTAAATTGACAGCTAACATGGATAAATCATCATATATGTTTCTAGGTAGTATAGTCAGAAAGGAGAAAAAGTCAATAATAACATTTGTTAATGTTCAAACCGTACATGATCATTCATTATAGTAGGAGAATGAATGATATAAATTTGTCTAAAGCAAACCAAGAGCCGGTTCAAACTTTGTATATTATCGGCTCTTGATCAGCTAGAAATCATTTCTAGAACCAATCAAGAGCCTATAATAATCAATTTTTTGATAAATAAGACATAAAAAAAAGCACGAAAATCAATGGTACCCATAAGTAACTCTTGAGAACCATAAAACAACTAAAAACATTTTGATACAAAATTGGTCCACCTTCAAGGTCCAAACAAAAGAGCCAAACATGAAACAAGAGATGAGCTTTAAAGCTCCAACAAGCGAGCACCACGTTTGCCGCTTCATACCGACCGGTACCATCCAAGCTAGCGATCTCACCTGTGGTACTGCCTACCTCTCTCAGGTAACCCAAGCCAAAAAACCGTATGTTGTTTTGTTTTCAACAGACCTACCCAGCAGTTTAGTTCGTACCGCTGCACCGTGTACACACCGGAGTGAAAAAAAAAAGAGAGTACTCTTCGCAGGCTTTTCGGAGTAAAATGTAAAGCTCACTTTCGATCGGGCGTCGAATTATGTCGCCAAGGCGCAGCGACAACTTTGTTTTGTGCGGTTTGGTGGTGTTGGTTTTGTTGTTCAGGGGTTGTGAAGGCGGCAAAAGGCGGCATCACAATTGGAACGGCGGTAACGGCAGTTATATGCATCAGAATGTTAGGACTAGCGCGTTCGTTTTGTCTAAGGAGGATGATTTTGCCAAAGGGAAAAGTAAGTTATTGGAACTTACTCTGTGGTATGACCGCAAATATTTTTTGCAACATAATCTGAAAATTAATATACGCGGGAAATTTCTGCTGTTATAAGACGCAGTTTGGTATATAATATCAATAACACTGGTCTTTTTATGAGTCGTTAATCAATTATTACGACAAATTGGGTTAACAATAAGTTCTGCGTTCAAGTGGGATTTTTCCCTGAGTTAATGTTTTCCTTCACACCAATTGGTAATTGCAAATTCAACAGGTGTTGTTCTCAGTCTCCGAGAAAAAATAAACGTTTATTTAAATTTGTTTAACTTGTAAAGAGTGATTTTAAGCTCGGACACGTCTCTCAAATATTTAACGAGTATTGGACAATACTGAAATTATTATTCTTTTGAAAGAGTGTACAAGTTTAAAATTCTGCAAAAGTTGTTAAACAACGTTTAATGGGTTTCAGGTGGGCAAGGAAATATCAAAAACAATGAGAATTTTAAAAGTTTTAAAAGACGTTTCCTTATAAGACCTAATGAAAACGTCTCCAAGATGTCACATTTTGGAAGTTTTACTTTTGTCTGATTCCAAACATTGACGCAATGAAAACGTCTTCAAGAATTTTGGAAAGACATCTTTGTTACTTAGGACAAAATCCCAATAAGAAAGTCTTTAAGACGTTTTAGATGTCTTCAGGTTGTCATAACAGAAGACGTTCAAGAGTGATACGTCTTAGCTTTAAAGACGTCTTGAAGAGATGTCTTCTGAATATGACAAGTTGGTCATTCAAATAACCAAAAAAACACATTCTTGAGACGTCAGCTTGTTTTCTGAGAGTAAAACTATACATCATATGATATGAGTGCACAAATTATTGTTAAATATTTAAACTAAAATTGTACACACACACACACGAGACATGGCCGTTGACATGGCATTTTTACAAACTTCCTGCGATTCTATTGTTCGGGAAAAAAATGGAATTTCACAATATTTAATTATGCCCTGATTTTGTTTACGTGGGGTCACGTATCCGTTATATATTTCACCCTCTACAAATCAGGGAATTCAATTTTTGATTTCGTATTCTAGTGATGATGTAATTCTAGTGCCAACAAACTCTTTGATATTTTAAAACGGTTTCTAATTTAGATGTTAAATTATCAGATTGTATTAGTGGTTCTAGACAAAGAGAGAGGTCCGAGTATGAATTAATCCAGCAGCCTTGACTGGTTTGATCGTTTCTACGTGATATTTTGGTGTGTTTTATTTAAAACTGACTATGTATAATCATTTTTACTTAGTAGATTTAGCATAAACTGGTAAATGTGGTCCTCTTTGTAGATTGAGTCTTTTGAAAAGTCAAATTTTTGATCATTAGCGGCTCTTGAAACTGGAAATCAAGAGCCTGTTATAGTCAAAATTTTGATTATTATTGGCTTTTGATTGGCTGGAAATCTGAAAAGACAATCATTTGTTCGAATTATGATATTTACTAGATTTTGAGTCCCAGGGTGATCTTTTAGAGTTATTCAAGAGCCGCTGATAGTTCAAAATTTCAATTATTCCCGGCTTTTGATTGGCTGCAAAAGTTTACTAGAAGTGATCAAGTGCCTGTAACAGCCAGATTTTTGTTTCTTACATGCGTTTGATTGGCTGCAAAATCTTTTTTGAAACCAATCAAGACCTGGTAATAGATCCAAATTTTGATTTGTGTAAACCAATAGTTAAAATTATGATTTTCACCGGATTTTAAGTCCCAGGATGATTGTTCTAGAGTCAATCCAGAGCCACTGATAGTTCAAATTTTGACTATTACCGGCTTTTGATTAGCTGCATAATTTCAATAGAATCAAGAAGGTACCTGTAATAGTTGAATTATTGTTTATTACAGTTTTTTGAATGGCTGCAAAACTTTTCTAGAAGCAATGAAGAACCTGTGATAGTCTGAATTGTAATTCTTGTCTAAAGTAAATCAAGTTCAAATTATGAGTTTGAACCTTGAGCAGGGGTAGATACAAGCCTTTTAAAAGGGGGGCAGTTTAAGTTAAAGTAAACCAGATTCGGTTACTTTGGGTTAGTTTAGCGGAGCTCGCTGCGCTTGTCCCACAGAGGTCCACCCATAAGTTCCGCAATAATCTACTCATAATAACTTATTATATAAAGTCAGAATTTGTAAGATTATCCACTTTTAACAGGAATTAGTAATGTTACTTTACCAAACTAGTAACATAATGTGACAAGTTATTCAAGTACAAACGAGTGGATTGTTGCTGAATTTATGGGTGGACCTCTGCGGGACGAGCGTAGCGAGTTCCGCAGCCATCTATTCACCAATATGTTGTTCAAGTACGATACTAAACTGACTCACTCAAATGTGCGTTATTCTCATTAGTTTAAAAACTACACGTTTCAGGTGAGTGTCTTATTTGAACAGTTCAACAGTATATTGGTAAATATATGGCTGCGGAACTCGCTGCGCTCGTCTCGCAGAGGTCCACCCATAAGTTCCGCAACAATCCACTCGTTTGTACTTGAACAATAAATTATTATATAAAGTTAGAATTTGTAGGATTATCTACTTTTTGTCAATTTGCCTTTTAACAGGAATTAGTAATGTTACTTTACCAAACTATGTAGTGAAATATTGTAATAAGTTAATCAAGTACAAACGAGTGGATTGTTGCGGAACTTATGGGTGGACCTGGAACTCGCTACGCTCGTCCCGCAGCCATCTATTCACGAATATGTTGTTCAAGTACATACTAACTTGATTCTCTCAGTTGTGAGTTTTTTTTATTAGTCCCAAAACTACATTTAGATGAATGTCTTACTTGAACAGTTCAACAGTATATTAGTGAGTAGATGGCTGCGGAACTCGCTGCGCTCGTCCCGCAGAGGTCCACCCATAAGTTCCGCAATAATCCACTTATTTGTACAGGGTGTTTTTTTATATATTGACACCCCACCTACAGCCTTTACCTTCACAGGTAGAAGAAAAATGAAAATACAAAAGTTATACAGTTTTTACTGATTTTTAAGAAACTATGAAACTCCATTTGAAAAAAGCTGAAAGCATGCAATATTTCTCATTTCTGACATTCAATTTTTGTTTCTGAGCATGGATTCTAAAATTTTAGCCAATACTGTACAACTTTTGTATTTACACCTGTAAAGGTAAAGGCTGTGGGTGGGGTGTCAATTTATAAAAAAATACCCTGTATGTACATGGGGCAATTTAATTACAAAATGCATACTCACTTTTTTCTTTTTTGCCCTGCATATCCGTTGCTATTTCGAGTAAAAAAAAGTTGATGACTATTTACTTGATTTCACAACTTTCTTCCCATTTGGTCGACCCTCTGTATCTTCAATGGTTAAAAAAAATCTTTCGAGTTGAGAAATAAGAGGAAATTAATGCTATTTTTATTCCAGGCTCTTGAATTTTTTGTTTATTCCAAAATATGCAAGAGCTGGGAATAGAGAAAAATTGAGCCAGAAAAATTGAGAAATAGAAAAAATTCTAGAGAAATTAGGTAAAAAATTGGTAGACAAGTAGACACATTCCAGGCTCTTGGATTTTCCTTTATTTCGACAATTTCAAGAGCCGGGAATAGACAAAATTTGAGCTGGAAAAATAGAGAGAAGAAATTCCAAAGAAATTGAGAAAAAATTAATAGACTTAAGTAAAAATTAATTATTTTATTTTTTGTTTAAGCTCTCGAATTTTCTCTATATTCAGACAAATTTAGAAGAAAACGAAAACTCACGAGCCAGGAATAGACAAAAAATTAGACGAAAAAATGGAGAAATAATAAGGAAACTTAGGGAAAATTGAGGAAAAACTGTTAGACAAAAAGACGTAGTTTATCTATTCCAGGCTCTCATATTTTGTCTATTTTTCTGCATTTTCTTTATTCAAGATTCAAGGGCCAAGAATAGACAAAAATTAAGACAAAAAAATTAAGAAATAAAGAGGATATTTAAGACAAATTGAGGAAAAACTATTAGACAAGAAGACAAAGTTTTTCTATTCCTGGTTCTCATTAAAATAATACTGTACAACTTTTGTATTTATACCTTTCATCTACTTGTAAAAATGAAGGCTGTAGGTGGGGTGTTAATATATAAAAAAACACTCTGTATTTAAACAATAACATATTATACAAAGTCAGAATTTGTAAGATTATCCACTTTTTGACAATTTGACAATAAGTGATGCGTTACTTTACCAAACTAGTAATATATTGTGACAAGTTATTCAAGTACAAATAAGAGGATTGTTGTGGAACTTAATGGGTGGACCCAGTCATCTATTCACCAATATGTTGTTCAAGTACCATACCAACCTGATTCACTCAGTTGTGAATTTTTCTCTTTAGTTCAAAAACTACACGTTTCAGGTGAGATTAAGATTAAGATTATTCACTTTTTGTCAATTTGCCTTGCAACAGGAATTAGTAATGTTACTCTACCAAACTAGTAACATAATGTGACAAGTTATTCAACTACAAATGAGTGAATTGTTGCGAAACTTATCGGTGGACCTCTGCGGGACGAGCGCAGCGAGTTCCGCAGCCATCTATTCATCAATATGTTGTTTAATTACGATACTCACTTGACTCACTCAAATGTGAGTTATTCTTATTAGTTTGAAAACTACACGTTTCAGGTGAGTGTCTTATTTGAACAGTTCAACAGTTTATTGGTGAGTGGATGGCTGCGGAACTCGCTGCGCTCGTCCCGCAGAGATCCACCCATAATTTCCGCAATAATCCACTTATTTGTACTTGAGCAATAACTTATTATATAAAGTCAAAATTTGTAAGATTATGATTATTCACTTTTTGTCAATTTGCCTTGCAACAGGAATTAGTAATGTTACTTTACCAAACTAGTAACATAATGTGACAAGTTATTCAAGTTCAAATGAGTGAATTGTTGCGGAACTTATCGTTGGACCTCTGCGGGACGAGCGCAGCGAGTTCCGCAGCCATCTATTCATCAATATGTTGT